CTATGCTGAAAGCACAAAAGTCCTTTTATATGCACTGTAGCAAAGAGAAGTTGGTTTGCCTCCCATACACTGAATAAAAATATTGATCATTCCCTGCCAGGCCAGTGTGGTTTGGTAACAGCTCAGAAACCAAATTTCTGCTGGCGTCATTCTTCAAGCCCAAAACTAACTTTATGCCAACATAGCACTCCATATTTTGCACAGAATATGCCAGTCTGCATGGCACAGGTACAGCAATGATAGTATCTTCTCGTCAGGGAATTAAGACGCTGATTAAGATGCTGCATAAAGGTGCGTTTTACCAAACACACCCATTGGCGTTATTTTAAAAGTGCACAATATTTATGTTTTCTTTAAACATTGTCAATTGCATTTCATTCCCCAACACTCTGCATTCAAACATATGATTCAGTTAAGAAATGAAGCCTGCTGCCTGTGATACAGTAATCGGGGAAGATTAAAGTGGGCAGAGCTCGTCTGGACACAGAAGAATAACGTTACCCTGGAATCCCGTGCTCAGAACTGTAGTCCTTCCTCCCCGTATGGCCCTATACACAGTTAAGTAATCTACCTCAATCCCCTCTCGCAACAACACACAGTCCCATCTGCCTGAGAATCTCACCAGAGCTAATTGACTGTAACCTGTAATGCTTCTGAAGGCATCCTGGTATCTTACACTCTGTAATTTGTATAATCTTGTCTCTGACAACAACTCCAGACCTGCAACTTACAGGCTATATATATACAATTACTAAATTATGTCCTTTTTAAACCACACTACCTTGATTGCAGGGATGGGCGATAAAAGAAAAATTAAATAGAAAGCTCTACAGTGCATTAGAGACATTCAGCTCAATTTGCAATCACTTCAAAGGAAAATTTAATACACTGAGAATTCCCCAGGAATCTTTCTGTCAAGTTTTTTTTTCTTTTTCTGGCCCTTGTGAAAGAGATACAGCACAGGAACATGGCATGGGACTTTTTCTTCAACATGCTTCATTTTATTCAATAGTTTTAACACAGGCCTCCACATGCTTACAGCTCTTCCTTTCTCTTTAATCGTTTCCCAAAAAGGGCATGAGAAAGCACTTTATTCCGCCCCCCCCCCCACTTTTCCACTGTAAATTTGTTCAGAAAAAAGCTGCTCTGTTTTGAAAAAAGCATTTCAACTTGCTTGATGGCGCATCACGAGTCAAACTGTCATCCTTGTGTGCTGTGCAAAGCCCTCCAATGCTGTAACACATATGCAAGCACCTATATTTGAGTAAAGAGGTGCAGTAACTCTTCAAGCAGGCAACCTACTGAAAAGACACCAGATTGTAATTCCATTCATGACAGCTTGTTCCAGCAAGAAATGAAATCAAATCACTACAACCTGTCTTTTGTCTTTCCTGTAAGAATCACTGATGTGTAGCGGACGCCTATGTATCACTAACCAAGATCCAGAAGTGAAGAATTTTTGCAGCAAAATACTCATACTCTTCCTCACCACAAAAAACAAATACTTATTTCAAATTCCATATTTGCTCATATTTAGAAACTAGTACTATACCCTACATTAATGCAGTGCATCACAATCAAAGCCCTCAAAGCCTTCTTCTGTACTCATACTCTTGTACTCCCTTGCTACCCTGTTAAGCTAACATCAATTTCAAATTCAGAGGAAATCCTCATGCAGCACACCAAGGCTACAAAAATAGTTCCAGTTTAACAATTCCCCTTTTACTAGTTGTTTCTGATAGCTCCATTTGCCTTTTTAATTGAGAACCACCTTTATCCCTCTAATTGGTGAGACTCACAGTCAGGAACACTGAAACAAACCCGGAAAGCAACAGCAACAGCAGCTGACTGAAAAGAGCAGATGGAAAAATCATAATAAAATTACAACATCACAGGTATTAGCTAAATCCTCTTGATGTTTGTCTACAATGAGAAACGCAAATGTGGGATTCAGAACCCCCTCCCCCCAGTAATTTTTTGTATATTGATTCAGGTTAAGCGGACTGAAATTAATTTAACCCTCCTGACATACATAGCAAATTCCACCTAGACCTGGCTGTTAATTTTAATTACAATGACACTGGCACTGTATTAAACCCTAAACGACAGTACAGAATTCGATATTGTATTTTAAAGTTTTTTTGGCAAGCCTTACATCTTGGAGTTCACTAGATTGGGCACCCTTAGTTGCATTAAGGCATCACTGCACTCCCCCCACCTTAATGATACAGCATAAGGTTAATAAAGTAAAAAGAAGTGGCTATATAAGAACTTTAACTCTCAAATTATTGTAAGGCTTGTGGAGGGACAAAAAATTAAAGTGAGAGATCCTGAACTACTGTTATTCACCTTTGCATTAGTTATCCCTATAATAAAAGGTTTATTCATTTACCCAACAGTCAGGTGTGTCTCCTGGATGTCATTTCAGAGCTCTATCATACTTCAATTGAGATCATTAATTACCTATTTGGACCCAGTTCATGGCTAAGCCTTTGATGTCCTAAATCAGTTGACTATTTTATAAAGCATCCTGTACTGCCTTTAAGCAAACAGGAATGGTCCTCTGCTTCAATTTTCCTGCTGTCTAAAGAAAACAAAGAGTAAAAGGACATTGAAGAAGTAATTTAGAACTTGAAACCAAAGCCCCTGTAGCTGAAGGGCTACACAGCAACATGCCAAGAACACTATTTAAGGAACACTGCTCTACAGTTACCGAAAAGAACTGCAACAAGAAGGATTGTGTAACTACTGTACCAAGAGTCACAGATTTACAACCAATAGTTTTCCATGTTCCTTAAGTGATCAAAGTGAAGCCAATATTATTTTTTGCCCTTTCAGAATAAGTATCAATGGAACTTTATGAAGCATTGTTTGGGGATGTGTGATGTTTGGAAGCCCGTTTCTGCCAGGGAGCAAAAATATAACGCGCTATGGTATCTAGCAATTGCGACTTTGTATCTCAGAATTCCCTGGTTTATATCTCGCAATTGCAACTTTAAATCTCATAATTACGAGTTCATATCTCGCAATTGCAACATAGAATCCCAGAATTACGACTTCATACAGTATCTCGCAAATACGACTTTATATCTTGCAATTGCGACATAGAATCTCAGTATTACGACTTCATATTTCGCAAATGCGACTTTTTATCTCACTTTTGCGAATTCGAACTAGCCGACAGTTCATTGTCTGTACTTTTGTTATTGTAATGGATTTGGGTGCTTGGGCTTGTGCCCTCGCCGCTCCCACCCTAGTTCGTGCCTCACTGCATTGGGCTCGAACCCAGGTCTTGAAACTAAAGAAGACCTATTATGAGCAGGGGAGGGCGGTGCCGTCACCGCACTGCAACCAGATCGTACCGTTCCATTACACTATATTCATAAATCGTACAGGATCTATAGGCCTGAAGACTTGTCTTGTCAAGTGCCCTGATAAAAATCAAATTAATTACACTAATGTTTATGGAATCCCATTTCCGCCAGGGAGGCTTCCATAGTACCCGGATGGAATAGTGGACGGCGGGCTTTTTAAAAAGTTTTTATTTAAACACCAGAAATACAAAAAGAAAAGAGACAAAATATGAAAAAAGATACAGAAATAGACACTTCACATCCAGAGGAATTCACAATGATAAAAGCTGAAACTTATACTTTTTACATATTTCCATTGTATGTCTTGCCTTTTGATTCTTTAAATTTCTAGTAGAATTTAAGTAAAAAAGGAATTTCACTTTAAAAGCATTAATAGAGGGAGCAGTATTAGACCATTTACTTTTGCGGATGAAGTACTTAGCCAAAATAATTAACAGATTAATAATAAGAACATATTCTTTATCCAAATCAGATCTAAATATAAAATATCAAAATCTTTATAAGCAATAACATTTTGCAAATCTATCCAAAACAACTTTGTATATATGCAATTAACAAAAAAAGTAACAAAGCTTCCTTCTCATTATTACAAAATACACATAAATCATCTTGTTCATGCTTAAATCTAGAAAGTGTCAATTCAACAGGATAAAATCTATGAACGCTCTTAAATGAGATTTCTTTAACTTTATTTGTAAGATAGTATCTTGAAAATTGTCCAATCAGCAATTGTCCAAACTAATTTCCAATTTATATTCCTAAACACAGCATTCCAAAAGGAGGCACAAGAAGGTATAACGCCACCATGGGTTTCTTTTGCCAGATGAGCAACCTGGCCTGGCTACGTTCATTGCTGGCGCCAGAAGTGCCGTCAAAATTGTGAGATATGAAGTCGCAATTGCGAGATATAACGTCGTAAATACGAGACATTAAGTCGGAATAACGAGATTTTAAATCGCAATTGTGAGATGTGAAGTCGTAATTCTGAGATTTTAATTCACAATTGCAAGATATAAAGTCGTAATTCTGAGATTTTAAGTCGCAATTGCGAGATATACTGTAAAGTTGTAATTCTGAGATATAATGTCGCAATTGCGAGATACCATAGCGTGTTTGTTTTACTCCCTGGTGGAAACGGGCTTTGGAAAAGGGTGATGAGTAAAAAACAAAACTGAAAACAATAATAGTTTAATAAAAAGTAATAAATAGTCTATGGAAAATCCCCAGATGGTGATACGATAGCCCTTGGCATTTACCTGTAATGTGCCAGAGAATATTCTGGGAGAACTAATACTAAAAAAGAAAAATGGCAGTTCCTTTGCATTACAAAACTCTCATTTTAAAGTCCATCTTTTCTACTTGCCCAGTCCCTTCTTTTCATCAATTATTTTTTTTGACAGAAAAAATCTTCTGCAGGGACTTTCATCTATCCGTATTATTTTTGTACATATAAGCTAGCAGCAATGGAATCCAAACAAACCTTTAAGCCATTTTTTATTTGTCTTCATTGCCAGCTGATAGCTGGGCACTGTCTACAAGCGGGTACAAAGGGAGCATGTTTCCTTGGTAACAGGAATGTGCGGTGTCAACCCTGATGGTTTGACCATGTCTGCACTAGGCACTCACCCTCTCCAGGTCCTGCCGCAGGTGCGTGAAGAGCTTCAGTCGTCGGTACAGCACATCCTGCTCCTGCTGGGCCAGGTTGTCGACCTCATCTCTCTTAAGGGTGAGCAGCGGTTGGTTGTAGTTGGACTTCCTGCGCAGCTTCCAGTACTGGTAGAGGAAGTCAACATGGGCATTGGGCAGGCCCAGGCGCTCGGCCACATCCTCGGGATTCACCAGCCTGTAGAACTCATCTTCCAGTTCCTGCAGCTTCTGCTTCCGCTGGCTGGCCTTCTCCAGCGCCGTCTGGTCCTTTTTCTCCGGCTGTTCTGCCTCGCCCTCTGCGGCAGGCGCCCTGTGATCGGGCCTCTCCCCCTTGCTGCTCCCGCTGTGGCAGGTGCTGCTGTGCTCCAGGCAGTAGGACTTGAACCGGACCTCATCGTTCTCAGCCAGAATGGTCCTCATCTCCAGGTTGTGGTCGAAAGCACAGGTGACATGGAAGGCTACGATGCAGGATGGCATGGAACACTGAGGAGAGAACAGAGACGGCACTGCATCAACACTGAATCTTTGGGCTGATTACGTGATCTTTTCTCCTAGTTTCTTGAAAGTCCTCTTCCCAGGTCAGCAGCTACTAGTGACAAAGATCCCTGGTCAAGGTGCTGTGCAGAACATGGGGTGTGATTGTATTTTCACAGACACCAGTTATTTCTTTCATCTTGAATTACCAATCTGACACTCACACCAGATCTCCACTCAAACCATTGTCCCCATGATGGCCTAAGAGACTGTAACACAGAACCTTTAATCTGTCTCTGCAATGCTGAAAAGCTGACTCCAAGATGCTAGCAGAAATAAAAGCTGGCTTTGCACCCTCTCTGAGCCACCACAAGCTCAAAATAAGTATTCAAAAGACCTAAAGCCTGTTGTATAAGGGAAGAGTCTATATTATGCAGATAAATTATAAAAGTAGAATGCTAATAAAATATACTAATAAACCTGTCTGTATGTAAATGACAAATATGTACCCTGCATATCCAATATATACTTTAAATGCCTATGCAGTGTGCGTACACATAAACATGGTGTATGTAGACTGAAAGAGGAAGACCAAAGTGTTGTATAAACATGAACAGAATAATGTTCTTAAAGTTTTGGCAGTACTGTTTTTTAACTACAACACTGCTGGTTAATTGAGTATATAATTAGATAGATGTAGTACACTTATTGGCTGAAGTACTTCTGGTGTGCTCTTGTGATAATCATATTTTTTAAATTAAGTCCTGAAAATCAACATATTGTTCTCTTTTTACTAGATCTAGGACTTTTGGTGACCATGCCTTTTCTGTTCCTGCTCCAGTGTTATGGAATGAACTTCCTCAGACTCTACGCAGAGACAAATTGTTGGACTCTCTTCAAATCAAAACTTAAAACTCCCCTTTTTTACCAGAGCCTATGTCTGATTACCCTACGTTCTATCTGCATAATCCTGTATGGTCTTGTTTATTTTTTATTTTACTTTTTATTGTACTTTTTTGTCTTTTCTTTATTACTATCTACAGTGTTCTTGGGTTTGGTAAGGCATTTAATAATTAAAATATATTATTTTATCATGATGATTAAAATGTGGCTTGAAAATTAAAAATATATATTTCACAGAATTGCTGCTGAATAAATTGATAACTGAATGGACAGAAAAAAACTTTTAAACCAAGTGCTTTGAAGTGTTAGTAGAGTATTGTAGATACTGTATAGTGTTGCTAATTATTCAGACAAAACCAGGAATATAAGAAGCATTCCTAAACTTTGACTGGACAGTGTTACAGTAAAACTGGTCTCTTTTAGGCTATAGTTCATGGTAAAGTCATCTCAGGTCTTTTTAATCAGGTGCTTACTTGTTCTACAGTAGGTGGAACAGGATTTGTGATAGCCCTGACAGAACACCACTAAAAATATAAGATATCCAGTACAGTAACCAAGCATGTTTTGAAAGCATGAAGGGTAGAAAGTGATAGTGAGATGGAATTTTCCATAACTTTAAACAACCTTCTAAAATTAAACCTTCAGTTAACAGTTATTCATTGCTATTTCTAACTTAAAAAACTTTGTGGGGATGTCCCTACAAGACCTATTTTCCATTTCTTTCCAACAGCAAAAGATGCTGCCTACATACTGTACTGTATAGGACAGCTGTTCTGAGATCCAGCAGATGAATCTGTCTTGTTCCTCTGTCTCAAGCTAAAAACATTTTCTTGTAGCTCACTTTTTTGCACAGGTAATTGATTTAAAGATGCTGCTCGTAGTTTAAATTTCTTAATTTGATTAACATTCAGATTCAAATCCATTCAATCTACAGTACATTACCACAGTTCGAAACTCTTTTTGTCAGAGCTATTCTTAAACACAAACAGATGGAAGAACTATGAAGCTATGACACTCACAATTGCCTCATGTTTGGTTAAGCCTGATCAACTGCAATACTCTCTAGACAGAGGGATACTTTCATCCAGGAAAATCTTTTTAAGAGGTACCTTAATATCTTCTTATTAAGTTACTGTATTTCAACAAATGTTGAAAAATCTTGTGTAAATTAAGAGAAAAAATGTGAAGCACCTGCAGGAATTTAAATCAAGAAACCCTGTGATAAAATTGGTTGGTAAATAGAAACTAAGAGTACAGATAATGGTTAAATTCTCAAACTGGCATGATGTAATTAGTGGAGTACCACAGGGATATGCACTAGGGGCACTGATCTTCCTATTTAATATCAGTCCTCTAGATTCAGGTATACAGTAGTTAGTTAACTAGTCTCATTTGCAGACAATCCTCAAATAATGGAATTATTGAAAATACAAGCAAAAGATGGAGCTAAAGAAAAGATTCAGATAAAATTCCAGACTGGGCAAACACCTGGCAGTTGATGTGTAAATCTATATACGGGGAGAGTATTACATTCACATAGAAGAAACAAAAGCTGCTCAAGAAAACAACTTAGGCTTTATATACAAATATTATTTACATCTTTTAGACAATGCGAGGAAGCAATAACAATAGCAAACAATATTAGGATATACAGTTAAAAGTGTAGAATTTCAATTAAGGGATCTCATGCTTCAGTGTACAATGCAACAGTAAAAACCTATTAAGAATATTGTGTACAATTTTATTCACCAAGAGAAGAGCAACCAGATTCAATCCAGGGTTTAAGGAAATGCAGGCTGCAGGAACTGAAGTCTTCAACAGAGTAGACTATGAGGGGCCTGATCCAAGTATTCATAATCCTCAAAGCCACTGACAAAGCAACTCAGTGGAATTCTTCAGAATAAGCAATGAGACATGAACTGGAGAACACAAGTGGAAACTACATAGAAGTGAATTTAAAACTGAGAAGAGGAGGCAATTCTTTAAGGAAGGGATTGTGAGAGTATTGAACATGCTACAGAGCTGCTACTCAGTCACTCAAGCTGGTCATGTCGTTGAAGCTGATACCCTGGTTTATTTGGCAGACATCTGGATGTGATCCTTGAATCAATTAACTAGCAAACAGACTAGATGTACTAAATGTAACCTTGCTTATGTAAAAGCCTTGGTATCTGTGGCAGTCAAGAAATGATCAAGGTCAGATCTGACACATGGTTTGCTTTGGCACAGTGTACCTGTACTTGTCAGTACTAGAAATATTGACTAATAATGCAAAGGACACAAATCCAAAAAACACAGCAATCAGAAGATCAGGAAGCATGTTTGCAAAGTAACTACTGTACATCATTGTTAAATCACTTCATATAGCAGTAAAACCTCTTACTGAAGAGTTCTAGGAAAGAACGGCCTTCTCTGCAACTTTGTACAGTATGGAAATGAAATCACTTCATTACATTAGGCCCACAAGTGGAACAGAAATGTGCTGTAGAAGAAACACATTATTATCTGCAGATGTCAGGAGGATTTTGCAACAAATACAAGGCATCAGTGTAAGCAACTCTTAAGTGAACTGAGTTCAAAACTGCCTGAGATTTCAAAGATCTGATAATGTTTGCGGCTTCAGGATTCTGTAGCTTACTGTCAAAACAGACAGAGCTCCATTGTCCAATAAGGTTAAAATACATATTCATGACTGCAGGTCCCATTCAGTGCAGCACATTACCAAGACAATCAAAACAGCATGCTGTAGCAGTCCTGCACCTTGGGAACGGTATACTCAAGTTTGTCCCGCCTGGGCTTTGGGGAATAAAAGGACAGAAAACTACTGTCAGCTTACAATGCAGGAGTTCAAGACTAATCCCCTTAAAAAAAACTACTTTCATATTCAGTGCCAGGATACGTTAGAAGGAAAAATAAAAAAAATGAACACATAAAAACAGTGTAAAAATCAATTCCAGGCAGCACTAATAGGAATTTCCAGTATTCTTGTTATTTTCATCAAGTGACGAAAGTTCTGAGTTCTGACTTTCTACCCTGCTCTGAGTGTCTTACTGCACTGCGACCTGGGCTCCTCCCTTGGTCTCCATGTTTGCCTAACACACTGTAGCGCACGGCAGAGAAGGTGGGGTGTGGCAGGGATGTTGGTGTTTTTACTTCGCTGACCACATCCTTTCTCATTTAAGTTTTACCACCTCCAAATACATGCTGGCAAGGTGCTGCATAACATACAGTACAAGCAATTCTCGTTGGTATGGGCGTGTCCCACTTCTGTTTACAACTAATTTTTGAAAAACACCAACTTTGTCATATTTTGTGTTCGGCTGGCTAGGTGCTCAAAAATGTTGAACTGATTAACTGAATACTATACGAACTCTAACTCTAAGTACCCGCATAAAAAAGAAAGCAGGCAGGCAGAGCAGGCTGCTGTGTCAGTGAAGATGCAGGGGAGCACACTAACCTGAATGCAGGTGCCAGTGTGCTCTCGGCACAGACTGCAGGAAAGTGCCCAGCGACTGGCTGGGATATGGGACACCTTGGTGATGGGTTCCATCTTCTCTGGGCAACCTATGCTCACCTAAACAAAACAAAATGAAAGGATTACAGCTGGAAATGTTGAAATGTCTCCGAACTCTCGGCACCAAAATCCAGCCAGTTGAAGGGCCAAAAAAACCCCAGTCAAGACCATTTAAGTACTGGGGCACAGTAGAAAGTGGTCAGCATTTCTGCCTCTCAGTGCTGGGGCCCTGGGATCAATTCTGGACCTGGGCTGCTATCTGTGTGGAGTTTGTATGTTTTCCCCTTGTTCACGTAAGGTTTCCTCAGGGTGCTCCAATTTCCTCCCATTGTCCAAAAACATACAGGTAGGTTAACTGGTTTCTGGGAAAACTGGCCCTCATTGTGAGTGTGTGTGTCTCTGTCTGTGCCTGTGTATACCACACCTTGCACCCATTGCGTGCTGGGACTGGCTCTGGCTTCCTCATGACCTGAACTGGGAGAAGAGGTTAAAAAATGGATGGACTGATGTTAATTTGAAATGGCATATTCAATGTAGGCCTGGTGTAAAACCAAGCAGTTGTTTTGATTTCTCTTAAAAGGAGTTAAAGAAAAGGAATAGAGACATTTGTTATGTAAAAATGATCTAAACTTTAATGTTGAAACGTTACTGGCAGATAAGTCAGTATTTGGGAGGCATTTCTGGAATCCTTAAATGAAGACCTTTATATTTCTGTAAGTGTAATGTCCTCCCAGGGTTAAAAAAATATGTGCTGAATTTGTGACCATATGCGTAGAAAATTTGGCCACCCCGTCTATGTCACCCGTCCAGCTAGAGTGGCTCCACACAGCGACCCAGGAATTTCTTTTCATAATATCTGTGGTCTAGACAGCCTATGCTGAACCAGCTCTTTTGAGAACTGCAATCACACAGCGAACATTTGCCTTTCGTTTTTATAACATTCTCTTTCACCTCTTTTTAGGCGACCAACTCAATGAATACACTTAAATCTGCCATGAAAGCCCCATGTCTCTTTATCCTTTTGTCACTTAAATAATCCATGAAAAAGCATTTAATACCAGCTACTGACTTTAATCATTCCAATGGAAGTGTTAAAAAACATAGTAAATGACTGAAATGAGAGTACTGTGGAATTGAACACATGATTAAAATGTCCATGCTGTGAAAGCTTGCTCCAGCATGCATATTTTTTTTAAAATGTAGAAGGACAAAGTGAGCTATTTTTAATCAGTTTTCCACACATCTAAAACCTGTGAAGCTTTCAAATGACCAACAAAAAAAGAAATAAATTAAGAACTAATCAAATGCATCCGAGTGACTATTTTTCCTGAAATAATTTAGAAATAATAACAGAAAATTCTTCAGTAAGCAGCCACATCATTTAGAATGATTCTGTATCATACTGGCTCAATATTCCTGTCATATGCAAAACATAAAGGACAACAAGAAACATTTACAGAACCCATTTTGTAACACAGCAGAATGTGCCAAAAGGAAATCGAATTTCTTAGTGTCCAGGGCAGAAAACCTTTTGCTTAGCACCCCTGTTGTATGTGTGAAGTTCACAGCTCCACATTGTCATTATTAACACACTGCTGTTTCCTTTATAAAATGTGCTGCAAAGTGGTTGTTCCTGACAAAAAACTGATTAATCAAAGGTGACAAACTATTATCGTTGTCTGGGAAGAGGTTTTAAATCTTGGCAAAATGTTTCATGTCACTAAACAAAATGAATTTTTCAGAATTCACTTGCCAAGTCTCTCCTTCAGCGCCAGTTGTCTAAAGCGCCAGTCTGTGTGGAACTGGATGGTCAGAAAGAGTCTCTCTGCGTTGTCACCACAGCAGAGCCTATCTTACCTCTGGTATCCATAAGGCACAGCTGACATGAACCCACTTGGTTCCACTGCGGGTGGGTTTCAAGGCTCCCCCTCTCTTCGGGCACAGCAGGCATTTGGGTTGGACCCCTAGAGCGCAGGTACGGCACAGCCAGTTTCCTGTGGGCACTTTCAGGATGCCGTAACATGCCTGTGAAAAAGATGGATTTGAGGTCCGATTTCTAGGGCTGCATTTTGGCCAGCCCTGTGAATCTACTGTAACTCTCTGAACTTCAACCCCAAAAAGAAACAACACCAAGTGTGCATAGGAGTATGAGAAACTCCACTTATAGAAAAGGAACCATTTTAAAGAGTAAATTAAATATAATACATACAGTTTAGAGCTTCTAAAACTATAAATAGGAAATTTATTGGGATCTTTGTTTCATTTAAGCACACATTCATGCTTGAAAATGCAACATAAAATAAAACTGAAGTTTTTTCCACACATCTGAAGAAGGTTTCTTTCATTTTTTACTTTGTTGCACAGAATTTACCTCTTCTTCCTTCTTGGATTTTTTCCTTCATCTTACTTGTTTCACAGAACAATATTAGAAACTAAGAAATGTCCACGACAGAAAAGGCTATTCAACCCATCAATGCCTTCATATCGTTATAGTATAAAACTTCCCAGCATCTCCACCTGCACAACATGCCCTGGTAATCCATTAATAATTGCTTACACTTATACAGCGCTTTTCTGGACACTCCACTCAAAGCGCTTTACAGGTAATGGGGACTCCCCTCCACCACCACCAATGTGCAGCACCACCTGGATGAAGTGACGGCAGCCATAGTGCACCAGAACGCTCACCACACATCAGCAATCAGTGGAGGGGAGAGCAGAGTAATGAAGCCAGTTCATAGAGGGGGATTATTAGGAGGCCATGATTGGTAAGGGCCAAAGGGAAATTTGGCCAGGACACCAGGGTTACACCCCTACTCTTTTCGAGAAACATCCTGGGATTTTTAATGACCACAGAAAGTCAGGACCTCGGTTTTATGTCTCATACGAAGGACTGTGCCCGTATTAATAATAATGAATAACAACATATGAATCTATCTAAAAGTACTGTTACTCAAGGCTGGCTGTGACCACGTTTCCAGGATTCCCAAACCCCTTCCACCGTACCTGATGGACGCAGACGTTGCACTTGTCACAGAAAACCATCTCATTCCCATCCTCGCCCTCGGGCGAGCGGCACACATCACACACCACGTCCTCGTCATACTCGATCCCGAGCCCCTCCTCCGTCTCGATGGCGATCTGCATGTTCTCGTAGCAGTGGCTCTCCAGCTCCCCGATGACGCGCTCCATCGTGAGCTCGTCCAGCTCCGGCAGGGCTACGGGACAAAGGCGGAGCAGAAATTTTAAAAAAACAGAGGGGGGTGGGGATTGTGCCAGCCCTTGAAAGACTACTTTCTTCCCAGCTAGGGCACAGCAGGTTTGCAGTCTCTGCTCAGCCTGAGGAATGAGAAGCCTCACAGACCAAAGGTATTCGACAGCATATCGGGGCACTGCATTAATCTGGGTCATTTTCTAGTAGATAAAATGAAAATGGCATTTCGATTGTCATGAATCATTACACCTTTTCTATTTCAAATTCAGACAGCATCCAGCAGTCTAAACCAATGTTCCACTCTTTACTGAAAAATATTTCTGATTTTTTATTTATTTTTGCTACAGGCAGAAGTGCTCAGGGAGTTGGCTTTGAACATAGTGAAAGGTGTGGTCTGTGTTCATTAGCTCACTTCATGAGCACACCAGTGTATATGTAGAAATGGAGCCCTGTGTTATATCCTCCAGCTGAAGAGATGATTGGATTCTAAAAATTAGACATATTCAACACATGACCTATTATTTATTTTTTTCCCTAAAATTTATTTTAAGTTCTTATAATCAAACAATTGTCAGTTGCTGCCAACTGAGGGACAACATTCAGCTGAAGCCTAATTCCTAATGTGAAGATCTATCAGTATCTATCACTTTAATACTGTTCCCCCTGGCACCAGGAAGCCTGTACTGATAAGAGATACACTGCTTTCACAGCAAACAAGGTGGAAAGTGGGTTAATAATTTACTTGAGAGTACATGACATTTGAAGAGGGAACTGAAAGGTTGGAAAAATAAATTCACATCTGATAGTAAAGAACAGTAAAGAAAACAGGAGGACTTAGCTGTTTTTTAAAAAGTATAATAAATATCCCAGGACCCAGAATTTGTCTAATCAGTAGCATGAAATGATGATACTATTTGTTCATAAGCTAACGGGAGCTGTATAGTAAAGTAGAGAAAGTAAGAAATTATACTTTTTTTAGAAACACTCACTGAGAAGGAAGCTGGAAGTCAAAGCATCATTTCAATTTCTAACATCCCTGTAATTATTTAGAAAGAAAGAAAACCGAGGGCTAAAATGCTCCTACTCCTTCTCAAGAAGATGACCCAAGTCATCTAAAAATGGCATGTGATAAGAGATAATGTTGTACAGAACTAGCTTTTGTGAAAACATGATAAGAGCCTGGAGAATTAAACAGTTGAGTTAAACTTCCTGTTCTCTAAACATGAGATCACGTCAGAAATTAGTTAGCTGGTATGAGATCTTAAGGGTCATAAGTCCACATTATATAAGCAATAAACCCTCGCACAGGTCCACAGTGACAAGACCTGGGACTCGGGGATGTGTGTGAACACACAGGGGCCTGAGGGAAGGCCCTTGTCTGGCTCGCCCTGTTCTTGCTCTTGGCGCTGCTGCGCCACAGTCAGAAGCGTCAGGTGAAACCATGGGAAAGCAAGCCAGTGTACCCATTTCCCTGAATTCGGAGTTGACCAGCTCCAGCCAGTAGACATCCAGGTCATCCAGGTCGTAGCGGCACAGCGGCTCCTTGGAGGTCCTCGTGCCCACGTAGCCGGACTCTGGGGACACCGACCCCATCAGCAAGCTCTGAGACGCAGAGTAGAAAGGGATACGGCTGACTTCCGGCAACACCCTGCACAAGCACACAAGTACGTTACAGATAGCTGTTCACTGCAAGCCAAACTTCAAGAAACACAAATCTTCAAACACATCTTTCAGCCTACCCGAGCCTAAATACTAACCTCCTGACTCACATGGCTTGAAGATATTCAAATTATGTCTTTATAGGTCTGATTCATTTAATATACTATCAACAGAGGACAGCATGGTGGCATGGCCCTTTCACACTGCTGTTTCAGGGTTCTCAGGTGCTGGGTTTGGTTTCAGAGTGGGGTGCCTTCTGTGCGGAGTTTTGCATGTTCTTCTTAAACTGCATGTTTTTTTTTTCAAGGGACTCCCTTTTCCACGCACCTTTCAAAAATCTGCTGGCTAGGTAAACTCCTAAACTGGTTAAGTCCTAAAGTCTCTAAATTGTAAGTGTCCTGCAACGGACTGGTGTCTCATCCAAAGAGAACTCTCACCATGCACCCTCTGCTTCTGAGACAGGCTCTTGATTGTTGTGGCCCTTACCAAGAATAAGCATAGTTTTCATAGTCTCTTAATCTCCATAATATATGCATTCACACTTGAGTGGGAGAATGATAGTTGTTTTTCCTTCTTTCATTCTAATTTCCATTGTTAAATGAACCTCTCTTTGTTCTCTGCAGCTTGTATGCTGACCGAGCTCCTCCGTCTAACCTACTAATAATAACTATTCAATATTCAATAATCTGGGAGTTACCCTGGAGAAAGCTTGACTAATGTGGTTGGAGCGGCAGCCGTCTTGAGGTGCTTTAACTCACTGGTTGATTGGCATTAGAACACAACCATGCCCTGATCTCACTGGCCAGGAAACCAGTCAATTAGTCACTCACAGGCCGGCCTCCAGCTCTTAAAAAGCTGTCAGGCCAGCCTCTGTTAGACAACTTCAAAACAAGGAAAGAATGCTTTTTTGTGCATTTTGATGTTTAATTTGTGAACATTTCGTTTTTTGAGCTTTTTTGGAGTGTGCATGCACTTCTATTTTTTGATTCATAAAAGCATGTTAAAGAACAACATTTCAGTCCTTCACCAACCCACACAAGGTCCGTCTTGTCATATTGTCACATTGTATCACATACATGCTGCAGTGTGTTTAGGATTCACCTCTAACTACAAAGCTATGGATTCAAATTCCAGAAGGGACACTGCTTTTGGATCCTTTTGAGTATGTCACTGAGCTAGATAAAAGTGTCAGCGAAACACTTTATATATATTTGAATTACTAATAACACCTTGTGTTAAATAGAATTGTATTTTTCATTCATTGCCTGTAATCTAAATCACCTTGGATAAAATATCTACTAAAGAATTATAAGTATTATTTTATTACTTTAGTTAAAATGAGAGTCAGACATTGGAGGGCAAAATACAGAGTTACCATGTACCATACAGTCTTTAGAGTTCTCAAGAGTGCACTTTTGCTGATCTAGGTTTTTATGTCACGGAAATCAATTTGACTTGCACTGACATATAACAAAACTGTTAAATCTTCTCCAACTGATATTCAATCCAGAATGAAACCAGCAGACCACAAAGTTCGCCAACAGCTCAGCTCTGTATACCACAATGTTGTGAGAGCGTGTACACTTATGAACACAGAATACACCAACTCTTAAAGCCGGGAAAGCAAAAAGAACCAGTGAAAATGTTCTACAAATCTAAGTTATTAAACTATTCATCATTCTTACCTATAAATGCATGTATGAAAAGGTGTGCGCAAGCAGTAATAAGATATTAAGAATTATTTTTTTATTGCAAAATGGTCTTTTTTGTAAACACACTTATCCCAACTGTTTGCAGTAAGAATGCTACTCATTGTTCTTTTAAAGTTGAACATGTAGGAAAGTAAAAAAGAGGTTTTCCTGTTTTTTTAACAATGCCAAAACAGTTCTGAATCACTGGTGGATACAATGCGTGAAACATTCTGGGTGGAGTGGCTAAGGATCTGTACTTGAGACTGGAAGATTGCCAGTTCAAATCCCACGGCTGGCAGATGAATCCTACTCTGTTGAGCCCCTGAGCAAGGCCCTTAACCCCTACTGCTCCAGGGGCGCTGTATAAGTGGCTGACCCTGCGCTCTGACCCCAAGCTTCTCTCTCCCCGTCTGTGTGTCTCATGGAGAGCAAGCTGGAGTATGCGAAAAAACAAATTCCTAATGCAAGAAATTGTATATAAAGTGATCTTACTTTAATGCTATTTTCAATGGTCTGAAAACTCTACGGTGATCCCATCTGCATGACTGTTTTTTCTAAGCATCAATCCTAGCTTTCTTAGCTTTCTTAGTTTGTATACATGTTGGATGGGCTACATTTCTTCGTTGTTTTCATTTACCTACTTCTTTTGTATGGTGCAATTTTTTAATATCCTTCCCTTGGACTGTCCTTGCATTGATGTAAATTAATTTAGAGGCCATTTTTGTGACCCCACTGATTGATACAATATTGCACACATTCACAATATGCATATGTTTTTGCAGTGTCATGGTTTAGAGAGAGGGTGGGGGAAAGGGTGGAGTTGTTTTTTACATAAAAGTTTTTAATTTGTTTTTTTGATCGCTGGAATGACAATGGCAATACATGTATATTGTGTATGTTTTGCTATGACCTGCTCTGTTTTATCCTCCAGAACTTCTCCTTCCTTCTACACCTTCAGTCCCTGTAATTAATTCTGTTGACCTTGCTTAGGAGAATTTACTACACAGGTTGTGAAACAGAGTGAAGGTACAGTAGATGTTGCTATCTCAGCCAGAAGCCATGGTAATTTTCCAGTAATATTAAAGTATATTTATAGAACAGTAAATATGGAGTGTTCTCTGAAAAACAGTGGGATATAAATGTACAAACATGAATATGTAGCCATTTAAAAACAATCTCCTGTAGCCACTCTTTGCATGTCATCTTGTTAAAACCTCTTCAGCAGAAAAGGCACAGCTGTAGGGGGTTCAGCTGTCTCCCAAGACATTATTTTTGAAATATGCCAATACACTGCTGCCAACGCAATGATTCCACTTGTTCTTTTATTAGGTTTTGTCACTGTACACATAATCAATTCAAACACCTCTCTGCAATCGGTGAGTTCTCAAAGCGAAGGAGTGTTTCAGTTTCTACCAGGCTGTTGTCACAGATAAAGAGTCACTTATGGCTGTTGCATGCTGAAACAGCAATTTCCTTTTTAACCTGAAGCACACAACTTTATAGGGTTTGGAAAGCATTTATCATCTGGCATAGTTTTTGTGCAACGGATCAATGGCAGCAGTGGCCTGTTCCTTTGCAGGAGAATACACTGGGAGGATGTACAGCAAGGGCACAAGTGGTCCTTAAAGCTAACCGCTTCAAGAAGGATGATGTAATATGGAAGATAAAGGGAGAGCTCCTTTTTTGGTCTTGCTCAGTGCTTTTCTTTTTTCACCTTTCACTAACATCTCTAAAAGAGCACCAACATGGACTAAACAGCTGCCAAGGGACCAATCGCTGCCTCCAACAATCTTTTCTCATCTTTTATTGCTACCTCAAATGCAGACATCACGTCTATGAAATACGAGAAGATGACCTCCTGCTAATGAAAAGATATTTAAGCCAGAAGGATGTCCTTTTTATTCCCTGAGCAGCCAGGCCTCTGCTCTCTGTGTCTAACAGGCAGCTGTTTCGCATCTTCGTGCAGCCATTAACCCGGAGCAGTGCATGGATCTCGGCTAGATGCAAGGCGCTGAGTGTAGTGGGAAAGCGAGCCAGCGTATGCCGGACAGTCTGGCCTGAGAACAAGCTGCGCCGGTAGGAGGGCAGAGAAACAGGCCTCTGGGACACAGCTGGCCCTCGTGCGTCAGAGCAGGAAAGGGCTAGTGCAAGCTAGCCAATCAGGCGGCAGCCCGACAAGACCGGGGAGAATAGTGCCGACTCATGCCTTGTCCTGTGTTATCTGGCTAGGGGGCTGCAGAGTCATAAGCAAACAAGGCGTGGGCGAGTGGCACAGGGGAATCATAATGGAATAAATCTATCTGTATCTTTTCATCTCTGCTGGTGTGCACAGCTTCTCAGTCTTTCATACAGCACATGGATATTCTCTTCCATGCATTTCATTTCAGCATTAAAACCAATCAGCAATTCATTTAATAAGAGTATGCAGCCTCAAATATCATGCCTAGAAAACACGTAGCTTTTCAGCATTTCTAACAGCCACTAAAAGCACTTGACATTTCAACAAGCAAGAATTCCTTTCATTGTGTCATTCTTTTCTCCCCTCTCAGAGGTTTCACACCTTTGATATGCTTGTTAACAGTCTTCCAAAACAAAAATGACATCCTCTCCCCCCGCCTACTCCCTTTTTTCTCTTGTCAGGCAGCATATTCTACCTAGAGCTAGATCTGCCAGGGCTGGTGACATCGCACTCTCTCCCCGCTGCAGAGAGCTCTGGGCCAGCACGCGAGTATCACTCAGCAGCATCACACACACAACCTGTCTCTTTGGGAGAGCTCCTTTTTACAACCACTGCTGGAATCTCCAGCCACAGCTCCAGTCCTCACAGGAAGGAAACAGAGAGAAAAAATAAGCCACACTCCTCTGAGCAATGTTCCAGGGAGCCACGCTATGACAGCTATCACTTAGGTTTAGTGGGAGAAGCTGTCACGTAGCTGACAGGATGCTTTCCTCGTGAACTCTGCACAGCGAGGACAAAATACTGCTCGAAAAGGGAAAAAACAATCATGATCACCAAGCTTTCTTCCCATGTGCAGTAAATACATATAAATACAGAAACCACCTCACCAACATTTCTCACTATATGCTTAGTGTCTCTGCATACTAATTCATCTCAGAATGGACAAGATTAAATAAGAAAGTTTTATTGAACCAATAAGGTTCAAAATGTTCTTGGCTCTGCATATATAATCGATTCTCTATACCACGCAGTTTTCACCTCTGCAAGGTTTCCTGTTAAATGGTACACTTTCCCTGCTGTACTGATTTAAAATGGGCCTTTTCCAATAACCCTGGAGGT